TTGAAGTATGTTCTTAGGAAGTCACAGATGAGAAATTAATATCCCCATGAATCTGAACCACAGGGTCTTGTTGATGTGTTAAACACTGAGCAGGTAGTTCTGTCTTGTTGATGTGTTAAACACTGAGCAGGTAGTTCTGTCTTGTTGATGTGTTAAACACTGAGCAGGTAGTTCTGCCGTGTCTCCAGTTTTATCTTTCCCAACTTGAAGAAGCCATTAAAATTTCACTTTCGAGAACTCTCATACTTTTGTGAGTATTAGGACTTTCATTTAGCTCCACAGCCCGTGTTTGATGATGCAATAGGCAACGGTGAGGGCTTGAGAACCGTTTAAGATAACTGGCAGTAGTTAGTGGAAAATCGCTACCGAGAAGAATGGTTTTATGACAGAAAGGGTCATGTTCCTGAGAGAGATCTCGCAATAGTCAGTCAACAGCATAAAAACTTACCATTGGTGTATCATCCCAGAGGATAATGAATAGGTGGATTGTGTATTGCGTGTAGTACTGTTTGTACGACAAATTGCTGGTCGTCATTGAGTTGTTGTGTGTGATCTACATTTACCCTTTGTTCGTGCAGAATGTCCACACAGGTGAGAGAAAAGGGAGGAATGAATACGGTGAATGTCAAATTAAACTGTTGAAGATTCCTACAATAGCACTTGAGTATTTTTTTTTAAATTCCGAGAGAGCGTACGTCGGGGCAGTGTCGGTGGAATATTTAGTAAAGAGGTCATAATGCTATTTTTATGTGTTTGCCAAAGGACCAGAAGGTTGACAGGTTCTCCAAATACACACATTATCACGAAGAGACGTCTTATGTGTATTGCCATCCCAGTATGTGTAGCTTCATAAGAGTGTCGTTGCCAAATTTCGTCGTCCAGTAAGGAGACCTAAATCTTGACATGTTGCTTTAAATGAGCTGCATATGTTTCCATGTATGGTTTTAGGCTCCTGGAATGTCGTAGCTTCTGTTAACCGTGTTAAGAGGGCGCGTAAGTAGTAGCATTTAGAGCAGTGGTTCTCAACCTTTCTAATGCCGCGACCCCTTTATACAGTTCCTCATGTTGTGGCGACCCCCAAACATAAAATGATTTTCTTTTTTCTACTTCATTGCTGTAATTTTGCTTCTGTTATGAATCGTAATGAAATATATCTGATATGCAGGATGTATTTTCATCGTTACGAATTGAACTTAATTAAAGCATAGTGATTCATCACAAAAACCAAAAAAAAAAAGACCAAAAAACAATAGGGAATTATATATTGTGAAATATTTATTTCTAATTACAAATAAATGAGATTTTGTCTTGAAGCATAGTTTAGCATAGGTAAGTCTTAATATAACAATAGTAAACTATATTGATACATTTTGCGACAGTAAACGTAAAGAGTCAACGTCAGTGCGAAGGTTGAGATTGCTTCTTTCTTACCAGATCAGAAATGCTCGGGGCAGTCTTTGCAAGAGCACCACGAAGATGATCTTCCACAACAAGTCTCCATTTAGACTTGATTACCAACAAGCTGGAAAACCCTGTTTCATAAAGATATGTTATTGGAAATGGATGAAGAGGGCGCAACTCAGTCTCAGACAGAACAGGAAATCCCTACAAACACTTGATCCAGAATTTTATAACTGGCATTGTAGAGAAATCAGCTTTCACTGCATCGCTGCTAATTTCAGCATCAGACATTTGACCTATATTTTTAAAAAATTATTTACGGTTTATTGACTTGCCATTGGTTAATTAAGCCTATCACAGTGATACTTAGGGAGGTCACTTTGATTTTTTTCTTCTACATTTTCACAGGACTTGCCTGATTCTTTCAAAGTATGCAATATTAATAATCCGCGACTACCCGTTAACGACCTGATTCGTGCATTTGTTTTCACTGTCGGTTAAAACTTTATTATAGGCTGAATGGTTAAAGATTTTTTTAGCGGGACCAAATCAATCGGTTTCTAAGACCATCGGCATCGGAAATGTGTGTTTTCCAATGGTCTTAGGTGACCCCTGTGAAAGGGTCCCGCGACGACCAAAGGGGTCGCGACCCACAGGTTGAGAACCGCTGATTGAAAGTCTTGAATTTATACGATGGCCTCTTTTTCACCCACATGTCTGAGAGAAGAGAATATCAGTGGTATCCTTGTTGCCCACACGTCTGTCAGGTTGTTGCAGTCCTACATGAATGTCCAATTAATAATAATAAAGTTTATTTAAAAATACGCTCTATCCCAAAAGGCTCGAAGCGCGGTACAAAAGTAAAAAAAAATATATATATATATAATTTACCACATTTAAAACAAACGCAACACTACAAAAACTAATTACAAGCAAACCAAGTCAAAGTCTTTCTACCCATTTCAACCCTAAGCAACACAGCCAATATGCATTTAATGGAAAATATGGTAGAGAATCATCCCAGAAGGTGTTTGCGAAATAGATGTGTCTTTAAATCGGTTTTAAAGGATTCCAGTTATGCTTGTTTAGACACAATCTCGTGACGTCATGGGGCACTTTCCTATCTGAATATATATTTTTTTTTAAAGCTATTATGTATCCCATCATCCTCCGTGATTTCTCCCACCAAATCGAGTTTTTTCTCGAGAGCTCTCTGCCATATATTCAGTAGTTAAATCTCACAAACTATTTTAAACCAAACCAATAGCTTCTTTCTCAATCTATTCCAAACCTGAATCTTATTAATTTCGCACATTTGTATGTCGTGTTCAAATATTTGAATCAGATGGTGTCACTAAATGTATTGCATAAACCAAAATAAAAATAGTCAACTTTTTTTTTTGTTACACAACATATTGTGTAATTATGCAAAGACAATCAGTGAATAGGCCAACACAGCAAATAATTATGTAACGCGTCATGTAAGATGATTGTAATGCTTCTTCGTTTTAAAAAAAAACGTCTGAATGAATGTCATAGGATTGAAACTTACAACAAAAACAAAGCAAATGGAATACACTGAAAGGACATTACACATTGTTACTTGAAATAGTATATGAATTTGATATATTTTGTTATAAATTACGATCATTTCCGTTATTTCTCAATGTATACTTTTTGTGTAAAAGTATACTTATGATTATCATTATTAATATTATCAGTATCATATCACTGTTATTATCATTTTATGTTAATTTACAGTTATTATTCATTAGGTAAATTGTCTGTTTCACCGGGTGGATGGGAGTCATTAACCTAGGATGTAAACTTATGTAAGAGAAGGAAACTATGAATTCAAACCCGGAGATGGAGTCCCGTAGGTGGATAACATTGGTACAATGAAACATTCCGACAACTCCTTCGGCGCCGCTGGTGCCAAGCTGTATCATCCACATGATTTTTCCCTTGGGTTATCAAACGGCGTGGAGAGAGGCGATTTGCTGTGTAGAGAACCAGATTATAATCCTGAAGAGAATAGTCCCAGGCCTTGTGGATTTCGTCTACACCATCGACTCAATGTGACGGACGAATGCCAGCAAAAAAAAAAGAAAGTATTGTCCACTTATAAAAGTTTTCAAAAAAATTTCAGTTCAATTCAATTCAAATCATCACTTTAGCCTGGTGATGCCATAACACGGGCCATAAGATGCCGATAACATTATTGACCGTAACACATAAAAGACAATAGTTGGTATTTTGAGTTCGCCCTTCACTTTGACATTTTTATCCAAGCTATTTCAGATCTGGTGCATCTAATAACATCAAAAGCTGCATTAGATAAAATTGTGTCAAACACATTGATTTTAACTTTAACTTGAATGATCGCAATGAGGAAAAATTCAACACTTCTGATCATATTACAATAACCTAAAGCTCACGAAGAGTCCATGCCCCACGTTTCTATAACACAGCGTCACTGAGTCATTGTTTTTGAAATATAGTCGCACGAATATTCGATACTTTTTTTTAAGCTATGCAATTCCAATAATTGTATTCAAAATTTGTGTTTATCAATTTTTTTGTCCATAAATATTGTAGAGATTGACAATAATGTTCAGTTAATTTTATTTGATTGAGTGGGCAGCCCGTGTTCCACGCTTGTAATGAACTAGTCATGACACACACTGTAATTAACGTCTTTAGAAACATCGACTATTTAAATACCAGTGTGGCGCGACGGGTCGGTTAAAAGACATTTATAGCTATACGTGTCATTGAATATACAATTACTACACATTTTTTGCGCTCTATCATTAGGGTTTCATGTCTACCGAGGGACACCTATTAAACATCAAATCGTAACTTATGATCGTCTGCTTATAGTGTCAGAAGTTTATGAAATTATAACATCACTAACTTGACTAACGTCTTAAGTTGACTCGAGCAATATCCTTTATCCTTCTCTTCAAACCAGGCTGTCCGCTAAAAGCAGCAGTTAAATATAATATCGTACATTAATTACATCCTGTTTTCTAGCTTTGAATTTGAAAAAAAATTCTTTGTAGTCATCACTGAACAGATGAATAAACTTTTTTGTCTTTGCTGCTTGTCACGTCATCATTATTCCTAAAAGATCTTCCTGTAGATAAATTACTCTACATATTATGGAGATATTAAAAGACGTGGTTTTGAGATAAAGATAATTGTTTAATCCATGGCGTATCTTCTAACTGCTTTCTCTGACTGGAGAACCATATGAAAATTACCGGCTGTTAAATCAGGATAATACGTCACACTGAGCAAGGCCGTCTATTTAATTTCAACCAACTCACAACGGCATTTGTGCTTAGGTCATTTATTTGACATAAGATGATATTATCCATCTGACAGCGACAACTCAGCTAGGTCATATATTAAACATGAGGTCACATTAAACAGCTCACAGTGACAACTGAGCTAGGTCATTTTTTTAAACATAAGATCACACGAGCCAAATCACAGCTAAAACAAGTTTTTTTGTCATAATGTTATCAAGCACAGATGCAGTGACATCGTACATAAATATTACTTCAAAAGTGGCTTTTGCGTTCGAGCATGACTTAATATCTGATGAAATTATCAAGACGTTGGTGCTGATACTTACCATTCCTATCCATGGCTTGACCGCCATAACTGGAGTGATCACAAACCTGCTCAGCATGGTCATCTTATCTCGACTTGGACTCAAGAGCAGTGTGTCGGTTGGAGGATTTGCTCTGTCTCTCACAGATTTTATTGTTACTTCTGTTCACGTAGCTATCTTATTTTGCTACATATTGAACTACGCCTACCCAGAAAGTGAAGTAGATATGCTAGTGCTGAGAATATTTGCATTAGGCAATGTTCGATATGCCAGCTTCTACATCTCAATGTGGATCACCACGGTAATCTCAGTCGAGCGGTGTTTCTGTGTTGTGTTCCCGTTCAAAGTCAAGCAATTTTTTACTCTGTCTCGTTATGTCTTTGCCATAGTGGTCATATATTGTGTCTATATCAGTCTAATATTACCAGTATATATCCTTGTGAAAACGGATTGGATTGACTTAATGTCAATAGAAAATAATACAAAGTCAGTTAAAAGAAGAATATTGACTGTTGTGTTCAGTGAAGAAACGCACAACCTAGAGCATATTCTCAACACTATTGGTGGAGTTGCTCTCTCTGTAACGTCTCAGACTGTACTCATTGTTTGCACTGTCGGTCTGACTTATACACTGAACCAATCGTCCGAAATTAGGCGCTATAAAACCAATTCTAGCGACAGCAAATCTGTCAAGGAGTCGAAACTTTCCCGGGGCGAAATGAAGTTGGTTAAAGTCGTGATCTGTCTAGCTTGTATCCTCACGTTCTGTAACATTCCCAGGTACTCGATCCTTGTTGTCTATTTCACCATGCCAGGTCTGACAGGCGGACAGTACAAGAACCTCAATGCGTTCATCTGGGACATCTCGGACTTCTTTGGCACCTTAAACTGTTCCAGCAATTTTTTCGTATATTGTATAGTGAACGGTAGTTTCAGAAACAAATTGAAACTGATGTTTAGCAATAAAAAAATGAATTAACACTGATGGCTCTCTCGTTTCTCGAGACTGATTAAGTGTTTAAATATGGTTATTATGATTAAGTTTTTAAATTTGGTAATTATGAAAAAAAAAAACTTTAAATGAAATTGTCCTTCAAATTAATCAATTTGCCACATGGAATTGAAATGATGATTAAGACTCCGTGGTTAAGACATACAAAAAAATTAATGTTAACTTAAGCTAAAACATTTGTTTCAAGTTTAGTCTTTTTATGTGTTATACGTTATGAATGGTAAACCTGTATGTAATTTCTGGCCTATGTCATTTCTTATGAGTGTTTTGTGTATAATTGTTAAACAAAAAAGGCCCTAAAGGTATTTTTATCATGAGGCAGGATAAATGTGTGTACCCAAGTATACAATTATATTTAAAAAACTTAATATTGTGATTATTTTGGCGTCATCGCCCATCTTTCACCTGAGATAAGTACTATGTTTGCCTCACCATTGTTTAACCGTCGCCTCATTATTGCCTTGGCATTGTCTCACCATTGCATCATCATTGCATCACTATTGTCTCAACGTTGCCTTACTATTGTCTCACCATTGCCTCACCATTTTATCCCCATTGCTTCACCACTATCTCATCACCACCTTACCATTGTCTCACTATTGTCTGTCAAGAGCCATGTTTTTCGGAGTCAAAACAGTTGTGAGTCGACCAGGCGAGCCGCACTCAGGTCATTGAAGAGCCGCATGTTGCTTGCGAGCCGCGATTTGCCGACCATTGTTCTAAGGGACTTTTTCCTAGAAAGTTTTCTTTTTACTTAAGAATCTCCACAAAGCAACAATGACAATAAGAAAAGTGAATACAGTACCCCATAAAACAGTGATTCTACGTTCTTATTACACTAATATAACCTCATATTAATAATAATAATAATAAAGTTCATTTCAAAAACACGCTTCATCCCCAAAGGCTCGAAGCGCGGTACAAAGTCAACGAAATACAAATCTATAGTTTACCACATTTAAAACAAATGCAACACTCCAAAAACTAATTACTAGCATACAATTGCAAAGTCTTTCTAGCCATTTCAACCCCAAGCAACACAGCCATTATGCATTAACTGGAAAATAAGGTTGACAATCATCCCAGAAGGTTTTTGCGAAATAGATGTGTCTTTAAATCTGTTTTAAAGGACTCCAGTGTCTGATTGTTTCTGAGATCGACAGGAAGGGCGTTCCAAATATTATATGGTTGATTTTTTTAAATTCGACTGAACTGTAACTTGTAGCATGAATCGTAAAATATCTTATTATATTTCACTGTGCCTATTAGAAACCGCCTTAGAAGACAACAAGGAATAAACAATGATTGGAGTTTAGAATTTGACTAAACGAATCTATTTTGACAATGGAGGAATGCAATGCTGGCCACACTAAAACGAATTACTAACAGAAAGAAAAGAAAATAAAAGCATCCGGAAACAGGGCATACTTCAATAGTCAGAAAATACTCAAAAGTAAAAACATTACAAGCGAAACAAAGAAAACTATTTATAAAACTGTACTCAGACCGGTTGTAACGTATGCAAGTGAAACTTGGACCCTAACAAAAACAGAAGAAAACGTATTAAACTCATGGGAGAGAAAAGTTCTCAGGAAAAGATATGGACTAACAAAGGATGAATATGGATGGAGAATATGAATCAACAATGAATTGTACAGTCAATAGCAGGATCAATCGATTAGCAGAAATAAATGGCAGGCTACGTTGGGCAGGACACTTAGAGACAAATTCCATATGACAGGGGAGTGAATAGGGTGCCCCCAAAACCCCAGAGGAAAACGGTTCAAAGGCAGACTTAAGCTTAGATGGCTTGATGATGTGAAAAAAGATATACAACTGGGAATCCAAACATAGAAAAGAAAAGCATTAGTTAGACCTGATTGGAAGGAAGTAGTGAAGCAGGTTAAAGCCCTACACGGGCTGTAGTGCCACAGGGATGGATGGATGCTCTGAGTGGAAGGAAGTAGTGAAGCAGGTTAAAGCCCTACACGGGCTGTAGTGCCACAGGGATACATGGATGTCACCGCTGAGGGTACGCTTTTGCACTAGCTTAATATCGCCTATTATCTCTTTATAGTCCCCAGAAATATTTGTATAAATTAAAAATAATAGAATGCTTTTTATCACATATCTGAATTGAGTTTTGCAACATTCTACACTTAATTGGAGAGCAACTGAAGAGATGCTAGTTTTAAAATATTGGAGCCACATAACCTTAGAATCATCGTGTGCGCCCAGCAACCCCTACGGTGCAGGGTGCCTCGTAGTTTTTAGGGGTTTGCACAAAAAATAATGAATAAAAATACCGATATCTTATGCGAACTACATGAAGTAATGCATCGGCTTGTAATCTGGAGCGACCAATGCGATATTTATAATCGAATACTATACGCCTTTAATGAGATAAGCCTTAAATATACAGATCATCAAATATTTTGAGCGTAGTGATATATTTTACAGATTCCACTAATAGTAATCGGTTGAAGAAACCAGAACCTAATATTTTTTTTAAAAACTGTTTTAAAATAGGATTAGGTCCTTGTTAAAAATTTAAAAAAACTCTTCATAAAGTAGTTATTGTGCTCGGGGGGGGGGGGCACTTGCCTTATCCTGGGGGACATGCCTAAAAGAAACCATGGAGGGCACACAGTTAATAGAAGAGAAAAAATGCGTTTATGACACTGAGGTAACAGCTTTTAGAAGATAACATGTGCGTTTATGACAATGAGCTAAAATTTTATGACTTAGACTGTTTTATTTTTTTAAAAACTGTTTTAAAATAGGATTAGGTTCTTGTTAAAAATTTAAAAAAACTCTTTATAAAGTAGTTATTGTGCGCGGGGGGGGGGGCACTTGCCTTATCCTGGGGGACATGCCTAAAAGAAACCATGGAGAGCACACAGTTAATAGAAGAGAACAAATGCGTTTATGACACTGAGGTAACAGCTTTTAGAAGATAACATGTGCGTTTATGACAATGAGCTAACATTTTATGACTTAGACTGTTTTTGTCTTATGTCTTCATAAAAAAGAGCTGAGTGTGACAACTTTGGAAGTGTTGTGAGAAGATCCTCTACAATATTCATTCTCTTGTCGACATTTTTTTATTGAAGGTTAAATATATTTTTATTATTGTTTTATTCCTCTGAGAACCGTTAACAATCTGTAGAAGAATATTTATTGTTTGATGCTATGATTATTGGATTACCTACTCCGTTTCGATAAATCGTAAGTATGACATTGCTATGTATCGAGTAAATCCTGAACACATCCATAGGAAATGTGATCTGATTTATTTTGTATCAAAGTAGTAAATATGCTATACAGGCTTCTGATATAGTTGTTGTGTCTTCGGTAGAAAGTGGTGGCTTCTAACAAATGTCTTTTGCCCTTTAAAGTTAATAATCTATGATAATAATTCCCGAGTAAATCCTTCTTGCCAGCCCCGCTCTCATAGCGTACCTTTTTGCACTCTCATTCGCTGCTTCACCCGTCGTGCCCTTGAGCCCGCACCCACAAAATGCACACAAAAGTAAACGCTTGTACATCAGAGCGTTTCAAAATCGAGGTCTTCCGCACAGTCACCCCATCGACAGCTTCGCTCCTCTGCAGACTCGCGTATTCTTTCTGTTCACTGGACTCGCACTTAAACAAACGGTGAACGATCTTTATCTTTCTGCGTCCCCCAACAAATGCAATTCTCTCCCACTAAACATCGATAATATACCGAACATCCAGGCCTTAAAAACTATACTCATTGGACATCTCTTCAAATTCTACTATTCCGGCGTAATCTTTGCTGTTATCGTGAACCGTTTATAGCGTTACGTCCTTATTTGATTAGTGATTAGTGTAGAGCATAAGAAACCAGCAGAATAACAGTTTAAAGCTTAGAGTACACTGTATAGATAGCTGTTTGATTGGATTGAGCACAAATCATACACCATTAAGTGGTGTAGCATTAAATAGAAAGCTGTTTGATTGGATTGAGCACAAATCATACACCATTAAGTGGTGTAGCATTAAATAGAAAGCTGTTTGATTGGATTAAGCACATATCATACACCATTAAGTGGTGTAGCATTAAATAGAAAGCTGTTTGATTGGATTAAGCACATATCATACACCATTAAGTGGTGTAGCATTAAATAGAAAGCTGTTTGATTGGATTAAGCACATAT